ATTTATTTGTAAGTCAATGAGAATCAACCATAAACCACTGGCTGACACTGAACTCCAAGTTAGACGACGCGAAAGTTTTCGTGCGGCTGCCGCGCGGTAACCGTCCGGCTACCACGCTTTCACGTACATTAATGGCGAATCTGAATTGTATTTAATAGGCAACAACATTTAAATTCCTCGGAAGAATATAACCGCGCAGTCGCCGCGCCGCTGCCGTGTACTCCAAAGACAAGTCAGACTCGCCCGCTCTCCATTTTTGTTTGCTCATTCAAGTTAAAACGCAAATGCTAAATGAATAGAGCGTATTTTGCAGTTTTGCAGAACAGTTCGGTCTCTAAGCACGTGTACTCGGTCGCTGCGACGGGGCCGCACAAATAAACGCGCCCTGAGATGACATATTAGGGCTTTGATCCTGGGAATCTCTTTTTAAGCATTTTCGAGACTCGAGAATATATTTTCAGTGTCGGAAATATAGTTTTGCGACTTCAGCTATTTAGTTCAATTGTATCAAAAAACTACTAAACCATGTTTTACCTGGTTACATGGACATGGCAGCACTGAAGAATGCCACTTAGTACAATCTGTGGATATCGAAGAACGGTAATAATAAAATCAAGTTCTCTCTATCGGAAACTTTCGAACGCGTCTACGGCGCCGTAAACGCGCAACATTTGCTATGTTCATGGAAATTTCAGTTTCGATTATTATTTAGAGATATTTCAATAAAATTGTCTCTCCCATGTTCCGTAACAAATACGTTAAGGACTGTGAACTTATTTTACTGTAAGGAAGTAGGTTTATTTTATTTCTAAAACGCAAATGTTCAAACATCGTGCATTCAATTTTTCCGCGTCTACCTCAAACGTTTCAAAGCCTACGCAACCGCGGTACCATTTCGCCTCAATGAGCAGAAACTTCGACAACTCCCAAACGATGTGCACTGAAGTGAGATTTATTTATAAAGACAGTCAGTGGTCTTAATATTGATCTTGTCTTTGAGACGGAAACAAAGCTTTCGAGACTATTTTAAGAGTAAATTTCCATATTTATTAAATACGTGTGGCGCATTATAAGTTTCCGGAATGAAAAAGAAGAAAATACTATAGATGGTCAGAAATGAATTTATTGTTTCTCAGAATATTCTCTGTTAACATGAATGCCCTTTCTAATACGAATGAAACAATTTTGAAAACATTTATGCCACTCCTCCGTGACAATCTCTGAACCATATTTTTCATACTCTTCGACAGCCTCTTCAGGTGATGAAAATCGTTGACCGCGAAATTGGTTCTTAATTTTTGGAAATATATAAAAGTCACAAGTGCCAGGACGGGACTGTACGTGGGATGGCTCATAAGGTGAACAGTCTGTCTGGCCGTGTGAGAACTGGCATTATCGTGGTGCAAGATGATACGGCATTTACGGTTATTTTTACGGAGTTTGTCAATAACTTCCGGCAAACAAATGGTCGTGTACCAATCACTTTTCATGGTAAAACGATTCTCCAAAGCAACAGTAGCCACGTGTCAAAAAGAAGCAATCATCTGCTTAGAGGCACTTTGCACGCGCGCCACTTTGGTTACTTTTGGCTCATCTCGAAATACCCATACGCTCGATTGATGCTTTGTTTTGGGATCGTAACTATAAATCCATGTTTCGTCACCTGTTACTATGTCCCACACCAAATTTGACGCCCCTTCGTTGAATCTGGTAATCATGGCATTGCACCAAGTGAGGCGATCAGTTTTTTGAGCCTCAGTCAAACTGTGTGGGATCCACCGAGTGCACAGTTTTTTCACACCCAAATCTTTGTGCAGTATTGATTGCATTTGACTCACGCCTATGCCCAAAGATTCCCGAATCTCATGGTATATCACATGCCTGTCTGTTTTGATCATATGGCGCACAGCATCGATGTTTTTGTTGTTCACAGCAGTGGACGGGCGACCATCACGAAATTCGTCACTGAGATTCACACGACCGCGTTTTAATTCTGCAAACCAGCTATAAACAGTTGTCTTGCATGGTGGCATGCAATCAAACTACGAAAATTTTCACGAGTTAAATCCATGGTGACGCCACATTGTAAAACAAGTGACAGTCAAATGAAACAAACTGTATTCTACAGCCATTCAAATGTTGTAATTACTTTTTAAATATTGTTTATGTAAGTGGCCAGTTCTGGAAACTTATAGTGCGCCCTATGTTGTAATACGGGCCTAAAATTCTAATAATCTCAGTCTCTACCTATAGTTTTTTTATGATATCAAGTGACAGGACGAACAAGTCGTGCGCCTGGTGGTAAGCGACACGCCTATTCATGACAGTTGCCACTCAGAACAAAGATCTTAGAGGCACTGCTACTGCGCCCGTCACCCTGAAACAGTCCAAGTTGTCATGTCCCATGACCTGTAAATTCGCTAGCACTCTATCTTTTCAAAACTAGAATGCAGTAATGGTCAAATTGATGCTGGTCTAATGCTAGTTGGAGTCTTCACACGTTTTCAATGGTTGTGAAACGTGTGTGACCGTGAGGTCAGCAAGAGGTATTATTACTAAATAGCGTCAACGTCTTAATTAAGAAGAAACCATTTTTTTCACTGAACTAACACCGCACTAACTGCTCCTTCTAATTCAAGAATACACTTAATCAATGAGTTTCTGTATCTGAAAATCGCTTCGTCGAAAATTACGCAACAGACAGCAACAGAGCTCCTTGTGGAAGAGTTCGTCCAGGGAAGTACTGCCATCTTACCTATTTCTGCTGCCAAACAGTAATGTCAGCATTACTGTGTTACGGTTTTGAAGGGTGCTGATGAAATTACAGGCACATGGGACTTGTCAACTTGTTTCATTGTGACGAGTGCAGTGGCAATGCTCCATCTTTGTGATTTAAAGCACTTAGTGGCATTGCAACTGTTTTGGACAGGCATATCGCTTAACAATAGGCGCTCGACTTGTTTGTCCTATCACTGAGTATTACAAAAAAAAATTATATAATATAACTTACAATTTCTGTACATACTTGATTTCGTACTGAAATGTTCTTCGAAAAGGTGGGTATAGTGGTTGGATATGGTATCAGGAGTATCTATATTATCTAAATCTTATTTGCTTTGTAAGATCGAACGATCAAATTGGTTTTTATGGATCATAACCTAATATAGGCATAAATTTCTTCCTCCCAGCCTAATAGCAATTTCAAAGGTATCAAAGGAGTTTAACTTTGTCCGCCCCACGCTAACCACAGACAAAATAATCGACATAAAGCAGGGCAAGCATCCCTTGCACATAATAACGTGCGATAGTTTCGTGCCGAACGATGTAACGTCTAGTCTGGAGACAGGGTTAGTCAAGATATTGACCGGGCCCAATTCTAGTGGAAAGTCCGTGTATATGAAGCAGATTGGTAAGTTTATATTATTAATTTTGAGATAACTATATTGTCTACGCCATCCCAGTCTTTATTCCGGTTTATCGCAGAATGAAAGTACGGTTACGCTACAATATTGCGAACAAGTGACACATTAGCAGGCTTTACGCAGATACTATCGCGTGTGATATAGCAATCACGCGCGTGTAAAGACGTTGGAAGGAAAAAAGAAAGGCCGCACGATCGCCCTCATCAGTCGCGCGCGCAATCGCGCACACCAACACGCGCCAGTTTCACGCGGTCTATCCTGCACTATTAGCCTTTACACGGACGCTCTTTCCGTTGTAACAAAAACGAACACGAACAATCGCGCGCGAGAGAACGTTAGCTTAAAACATTTTAAATAGGTGAGCTTTCCCGCACGCAACCCTTTACGCTCCTGCGTTCTAGGCCCTGATTTTAATCCAAATCGGAATGGATCCGATAGGGTAGCCCGTCCGCAATATTATACGCCTCGACTCGGAAAAGACGCAGTTTCCGATCGGGAGAGGTAACCAAAATTAAACTGCTGATCACGCCCAATAGAGTGACTGTGTATTTGACAGGGCTATTGCCAATTCCAAATTTGTTTTATATGCACTCTCGGTAGGCTACAGTGTCGCAAGTCAAAAACCACATTTTTTTGGTATTTGTTACGGACACATAAAGACACTTTTCTGAAGTCTGAAATAAGCTAATGACACTTTTGATCGATTTGCCATATACTTATGTATGTATTCGAAAACATAACACTACGTCTATATTATCGCGACCCAGTACCTACTTAGACTAGTAGAGTTTGCCATTGTGGTGAAAAGATTTGCAAATAAGGGTAAGGTCGATTGTAGCCAGGGTGCAGCAGACGGACTGGGAATACGATTCATAGGTCATTGCTAGGAGGTTTTTTAACGCACCCTGACTACATAGGTAACTAGTGTCTGATCATGCAAAACAATTCATGTCGACGAAAAATATTTTAACGAATTTCCACCATTTTGAAAATTTTCGAACAACCTAACTATATATCATAACGTGACATTTTTAATTGCCACGTTTGCCATTTTTGACTCGGGTCAGTGTTGCAGCTTGTTTGCAATATGGGATAAAGAATACTAGCGTATTATTGGCAGAATGTTCGTAACGTTACGTCTTAGATTTTTTTTATTATTTATGTTTATTTTTATATTTTTCATAGTTAATTTATAAGTCATTATTTTAATGACGAGTGATATAAATAAGATATTTAAATTCGAAACTTTGTTAAACATTGTATTGACAGAAATTAGACATTCTTCTTTTTCTTCAGATTTTTTAACTATTTTTTAACGAAACACCATCAATTTCAATTCCTTTTTCTTAGTAAAAATTAAAAATATGGATTCAGGTCTGATAGTGTACCTGGCTCACATAGGCAGCTTCGTGCCTGCAGAGCGCGCTACCGTTGGCATTATAAGCCATATGTACACTCGCATACAGTCCACTGAATGCGTTGCCACGCACATGTCCGCGTTTCTTATTGACTTGAGACAGGTTGGTTGACAAATTATTTGTTTCTTATAATTATTAAATACAAAGACCAACGTCAGCTCGTGGTAACTGGAAAGTTACCGGCTGAGTGAGAAGGTTCATGAATTCTCTCACAGGTGTCGGTCTACAGTGGCGAAAGCTGAAAACTTCAAAAAATTATTTCATTAATTATTTAATTATTAAACGTAGAACATAATGCAAGCCTGCGAAATCATGTTTTTCAAATTTATTCCAATTTTTCGGAAAATTACGCAACAGTAGTCTAGATGTTATTTATTACAAATTACGTCTTCTTCCAGATGGCTCTAGCCCTCCAAGAGTCGACTTCAAAATCCCTTATAATAATAGACGAATTCGGCAAAGGCACGTCCGAAGTAGACGGCCTATCCTTGCTCGCAGCTTGTCTCAACACACTCATATTCCAGGGAGAAAACTGCCCTCATGTATTACTGTCAACACATTTTTTAAATATACAGGAGTTTATTGTTGACAACCCTATTGTCCGATTTATGGTAAGACATCCTACCTATAGTTACGGGTTTGTTACATTGGCATTGCAACCTTGGTGTAAGTAACAAGGTTACATTTGCAAAATGATAACTTTTCAGGAGAGGTTTAAAAATTCCACGAACGGAATTATTCGAGTTACAAAATTTCACGTATACATGATTTCTTTCATGTAATTCGCACTATTTTTATTACTTTCATATCGATACTTCCAATGAAAATTATGCCAACTTCATTTTTTTGGTCATTTTCTGTTTGTAATATAAACAGCCTTATTTTAGTTACTAAATTTTGTGAACAAAAAAAAATAAAGAAACAAAATAAAAACAGAGATGCCCAAATAAATTATTTGGCCTAGTGTTGATAGACTACTGCGTCGTCCTACTAGTAGTAATAGTAGTAGTACCATGGGCAATTGTTCTACCAGTAGGACAACGGGCAAGATATTAATATATTGATTATAAAACTACTACTACTACTGATCGGGTAGTACAATCACTGTCAATATTAATAATGTTACTGGTTCTGAGCTAACTACAATTATTGTTCTCTGGGATGGTCCCTAAGGCCGTCCATAAAAATCGCAAGATTAATTATAATATTTATAATCTTAAAACAACGTGCACTGTTTAATGTATTTTATAAATTATTTTTGTAAGTATCGCTTTTAAGTGAAAATATTTTGTTTAAGTAAATACATTAAAGTAAAAATAACACCAAATTAATGTTTATTTATTATATTTTATTTATCCTGGAATGTACCTAACTAAAGAGTTAGTATTGTAAACTTCCTTCAAGAAGTATAAATGTTAAAAATAAAAGAGGTAGCAAACCTAAAATAATTTCTTGCCCATAGTCCTACTAGTAGAACCACGAAGAAAAAAATTAACCCTTGGTACTACTAGTAGGACGACGCAGTAGAACAACGGGCAATGAAGGATAAAAATCACTTTTGACGTATGATTACATATGGTTTCATTATACCAAGGTTACAGTATCACTTCTCCATATTTCGAAGCGGTTACACGCACCATGGTATAATGAAATTTAAAAAAATGAGCAGACATATCTGTCTACGACAGCCCTATATCATAAGATTACAATAGAATGTACGTACTATCGTCACAAGGTTAGGTATCTGTCCCCTATCAAGCTAGGCTAACCTGTGTTATGAAAGTCGGTGGTTCCGTTATTTAGACAATACACATGATACATTAATTCCATAACTAAAGCTTTAGTAATAACGATACAATAAGGGATCAAAGGTACGCAATTATTTCACAATACGTATCGCTGCCTCGGCGCAGTTTTAACAGCAAAATAAGTTTTTGTTAAGGTAGATGTTTTTTGGGGTGGACCAGCTTTACTAACGATTCTTTTCACGCGTCGCCACTGGCTTGCTTCTCAATTAAGAGGTCAATGATTCGAATCTTCGTGGCATCTGAGTTCAATTTCTAAATTCCGTACATTTGTGCAATATATCTCGCTAACGGTGCAGGAAACGTTAAACTATATTCTTAGAAAAAGCACGGCACGTATCCATTTGAAAAGTTTTGTGGCCACCCCAAAAAAATGTGAACCATCTTACTGTAATATGGCAACAATTAAACAATGTTTTTAGCGATTCGAGCATGTAATGGAAGACGGCGAACCGGTGTTCCTATTCCGTGTGACGGAGGGTAGCGCTGACGGGAGCTTCGCACACCAGGTGGCGGCCGCCAGTGGCATTCACAACGGTGTTGTTCAACGAGCTAATGAGGTTTTGAAGGCATTGAAGGTAAGGGGCAAGGTAGGGATTAGATACATAGGTATAAATCAAATGCATTTTGGTTGAAAAAAATTCATAGATTTCTCACAGACGACGCTAGGGCTATAAACTCGTTAAAACCAAAAACAAGGATCTGCAAGAATCACGCAGAGACTTTCGTGACGTTTGCTGACTCAGTTGGGACAGCGATAGCCCCGGTATGGCGAGGTCGCTGGTTTGTGGTATTTAAAGTAAATCGTGATATTCAATAACATAAACTGTTTACGTAAAATGGTACCAACGCATCATATCGCCATAATCTCAAATCGTGTATAGCTCTAGATTATAGCTTTCGAGGAACACAGAAGAATAAATAAATAAACAACGCACACACTCATAGTCTGTATCGCGGGTACCATAGATACACACATAGACAACCACAATTTACTCCCAAACTCATGAGCTAAATAAATGTAGGCCATACAAATATTTCTCCCGGTACGGAAATCGAACCCGGAACCTCTTGCGTGGCAGCCCAGCATGGTAACCGTTCGACCACGGAGGCAGTTAAAATATTGTGGAGTACACTACACACTTATCAATATTTTCTAAAGTTGTTGATTACTCGACAGTCGGCCCAAGAATTCTTCATTCTCACGAGTGCAGCACGATACCTGGGTTCGCGGAGAAGAAAATTAATTTACTTCCATTAAAATGCCATAATTTTAAATTCTCTTTGGGTGAAGTTCTATCCATTCGTTTCAGAACAACACACTCCCGCCGGCGAACGAGAAGATAACAACAAAATTGAAGACATTCACCGAAATAATAACAGCCGAACTTCTCACGGAAGATATTTAATAAAATCCATCTTATATAATTGTATATCGGCGCTTAGCTATAACAAAATTTCAATAAATATAATTATAAAATTTTAAACATCCAAACATTAAACATTACTTATAATCTAAACATATGACATATTATTTTAATTAATTATTTCATATTGTTTTAATTTAAAAAGCTTGGAATGCAAAAATTCATAAAAAAATGCTTTTGACACAAACGTCTTCACATATTACATTCGATACACACAGTATGGAAGCAGCCATTTTGTTTTGTGACATTCAAGGCCCATATTAACAAATCCATCTCAAATGCAGACTCGGTATTAAAATGTTACAATATTATACATTGACATTGTATTTTAAATTATAATATTCCATCCCACTTCATTCAAATGTCTTTATTAGTAATTAACACATAAGCGCATATCAACTCACCATCTGACAGCTGTCAAAGTTTCCGCTTAATAACAAACCTATAAATCAAGTGCCGTCTGTGGGTCACATATGATTGTGTCATACAAGATACCTATGACGCAGAACTTAAAATGCTTCTTGAAATCTGAGATGATACCTCTGATGCGCATTTTTTCGTAATATGATTTGATTTGACACAAAATTGACAAGTCGCATGTACCTGTAGTTATACCACCACCCCCTTCGAAACCGAAAAGCAGTAATGCTCACATTATTGCATGGTGGCAGAAACAGGTAAGGTGATGGTCTTTCCCTTTCACAGGGAGATCTTCCATTAACATTGCACTTAAGAACTTTAATTAATGTGGGCCTAAAACTGTTTTCTTTTAATTGTGCTCAAAAATTAATCTACACATTTAAATAAATAAACAACACAAACTATAACATTCAAAAAAGCATTTCGTCGGGTATAGTACAAATCCGCGTACGTAGTAAAAACTGTAATGTAATAAAAACGTATATTGGTAAAAAGCGCGTATCTCCACCTTATTTGGGATTTAACATTATTACTTTGTTATTTCAACGGCTACGAGTTTCATTTTTGCACAGTAAGCATTAGTTTAAGTTGTCTACGGACTGATAACAATAAATTCCCGTAAATCACGCTAATTTGGTTGCCACGACATTCCCGCGGATTTCATTTGGCCAATAAATTACCGAAATGGAAACTTATTACGCGTAATTGCACTATCCCCGACGATTTAGACTTTATCAGAATACACATTTTCGTACATTATGGTTTTTTTTATACGACGCTTTTTTGAAAAACCGAACTTACGTGATCCGTGAAATTGGCTTTGGACACTACAGATGTGTTAAAAATGTAATAATTATTGATATGAGTACAGGATATTTAAATTTTCGACTCATACACAATTTAAATTGCAATTTAGGCGCAAAACAAAAAACACTTTGAATAAATAGTAAGTCATAATTTGCCCGACAACAACTAGGTAATTATTAATACCAAAACAACGAAATTCATTCCAGTACGTCCGCTTTCCAAATTGGTCTTACCGGAAATGGAACTCGGGACCTCCTTGTTAAGCATCCATAGTGCTAACCGCTTTAGAGTTTTATGCCCCATGTTCTGCAGTAAACGATTCTTCATCAAAATTGTAACTTACATCCATAGTTGCTATAAGGAACAACATTATGAAGATTTAAGTTACATAATTTTCATTGTAATCTTAACTAATAAGACAACTTGTCGTAAAAGCAAACTATACTTTTTAACCGACTTCAAAAAGGAGGTGGTTCTCAATTCGACTGTATGTTCTTTTTTTTTTGTATGTATGTTACGCGATAACTCCGGTATTTGTGAACCGATTTCCATGATTCTTTTTTTGTTGAAAAGAGGGTACTTCCATAGTGGTCCCATTTCGTTTTGAAGAAAACCATCCACCTCGAAGGGTGGCTGTTCACGCATGAAGATTCATTTTTATAAATAGCGCCTAACTTTAATTTAGGAGCAATTACTTTAATGGTTGATTTTGCTATTTCTCCAATTCAAGGCGTTTTTCTCTCAATATACTTTATATAGTGTTGTAGTGAGAACCTATTTTTATTATCTCCAGTGTCAAGTCCTGTATAGTGGCGAACTAGAGGATATTTCAATAAAACTTAGCCAATAGACGTAATTCTTTTATAATTAATAGTTTTTTTAGTACTCTGTACTGAGATTATCATTAACAATATTTATTCCAAATTCACAAGTCATCCGTGTACGCAGAAGCTGTATATTAATAAATCTTTGTTTCTTATTGATAAGTATTATTTAACGACACAGATAGTCATTTTTATAGTTCGATTCAAAGAAACCAGTGTAACAATACATAAATATCAGGAGATGCGCACGGGTCTGATACTTGGTCGAAACTAAGTGATGAATTTTTGCAAAATTTTACATATGATCAATTGCACGGATGTGTGGTGCACGACAGTTGCCCTGTATGCGGCATCTATTAGGAGGTTATCTATGATTATAACTCATTATACAGTGTATTGATTAGCATTCTCGCCATATTTAAGAAATTAATAATAGAAATAATGCTAAATCATCTAAAAATATTTAAAAAAATATTTTGTTCAAAATTCGGGCTGTGTCTCGTGAAGTTTTGCAAAATTGCCTCAAGTCGTATGCACCACGCAAGTGACCCCGCCACCCGCTTCACCGAGCGATACGATCGCTTATTTATCAATATTATTTAGAAAAGATGACTGAAAAAAGTTTTTTTAACTTACATTTGGTACTTACCAACTTTAGGTTGCATGAAAGTATTACTAGAAGTACCTAGCTTGTGGAGCCAGGTACTAATGGAGCTCCGTACCGGAGCCACCACCAGCACGCAGAGATTCGCAAGTGAGTTTCGTTTCAACATTAGACTCTACAACTTTGAAACAAAGTTGAAACTTCGACACTCCGCGTAAACTAAACGTTTCACATCATGCCAAAAGAATAGACACGCACTTGTACTTGATGGATTACCATGCAGGTTCTGGAGAACTTGGTAGCGGTTCTTTTTTGCACTACTGACTCTTGTTTACATACTAAACCATGTGGCATTTCGTGACAGACTAGAATAGCGGGATGCGGGATGTCAGCGCGACGTAGTAGACGCAATGCGGGAAGCAAGGTCGACTGATCTACCAATCGCGCACTCGATACGACAATCCCCCGCCGTCACTATCCGCACCCCACCACCAAATAGATCTAAAATGGGTTTCTTTCTGCGCATTTAAGTCATTGTTCAAAACGTTTGCAAGTGCCGTGCAAGTCAATGACCTTTGGATCAAATATGTTTACTGCAATTAAATAAAAAATAGGAATTTAGGAAATTCTTTAGTCTGATTTATTTTTTTGGTGGTTTGGGTTCAGTTTCGGATATAGTCACCTCTGGAGATATGGCAAGAATGCAAATCAACACATTGTAGTGGCATCTTCACGTCTCTTATTATCGGATAAGGAAAAGATATTCTAACACAACGTAATGGCCTTTATAATCCATTTTTTACTGTCCAAAGCCAACTTCACGAAACACCCGTTCATGTAATAAAATCCTCACGAGATCTTCATGACCAGCCAGCCTTACATGGACTTCATCTGCTGCATGAGCTCCTCCAACGAGAGTTCCGACGCCGCGACCGCGCCGCCTGTGCTCGACTCGGGCGTGCTATTGTCCACGGGAATGCTGTATGCAACCTGAAATTTAAACAAACATAATGTTGTATTCAATATATAATGTTACATAGTAGACCTGTAGGGCATCGCAAATCTATTTCGAGAGGGAGGAGGTTCACGTTCACAGTCCATGACTCCACTTGACGTCGCCATTTTTTTTTTAGTAGCAGTAGAGCTCCTTGTGAAAGAGTTCGTCCAGGGAAGTACTGCCAGCTTGCCTATTTCTGCCGCCAAGCAGTAATATGAGCATTATCGTGATCCGGTTTTGAATGGTAAGGGTTCTAGTGTTCTCAGTGTGACGGGCGCAGTCGCAGTGCCCCTCAGATCTATGCGATTCAAAGCTCTGAGTGGCACTGCAACTGTTATGGACAGGCGTGTAGCTTACCATCAGACGCACGATGCATGACATGTTCATCCCGTCATTATAAAAAAAATTGACTCCAACCACAAATCCACGTATACCTTTGGAGTCGCACCTACATACTACTTCAATGTCAATTAATTTGGTTAGACTTCGTGGATCAAAGCCCTGATTTCTTTTTAGAGTTCTGAATTGGGTTGGTTCTTTTAGTACATTTGCGTATAATTTACCTTTGTACGTTGGTACCTTTATTCACTACCAACCTAAGCAAGCAATCAATCTCGGACAGATTGATTAATAGTTATTACGTAACAGATACATCACTTTCATACAAAATCGAAAATACCTACGCTATAATATCCTGCTAAATCTGACAAATGACACCAGGCATTCACTATGACAAAAAAGGAACCTAAACACGCACCCAGACAGTTGAAAATAACGCTGCCCGCCGTGGGCAGTCGTGCGGACCCGAATGCTCATAAATAAAAGACTTGTATGAGCGCTTGTGCCGACGTCGGTACACTCAGCGGTAGGCATTTATTGCGTAACCTCGAGCGAGTGACGGAGCCCTGGCTTGGAGCACTCTCTGATGGCAACCATCTCTTTCAGAACCTAGGGGTTGTCTATCTCTATCTCACTCTGCTTACATCACAGAGAAATTCTGAACACAAGAGTCCGTGTGACTGCGTCAGGAGTCTATTACACGATGACAAGTCCACGATTCCACGTGGAGTCGCATATTATTTAAAGTTTAAAAACAAATTACAAAATAATTTGGATATAACTTTTTTATAATAAAAAAACCGACCTCAAGCGTTTGTGGAATTACATATATTTGCCTAGTTTTCTTGAAATCTGTTACCGGAAAGTGCGCGAAACCGGATTCATCCCCTAGTTCGCCATCCTTAGAGATGGAATATTTTCTTCAAATTAAAATGGAACCAATACCGAGGTACCCTCTTTACAACATAAAAAAAATCATCAAAATCGGTTCACAAATAAAAAATCGAATTGAGAACTTCCTTCTGTTTTGACGTCGGTTAAAAATATACATAATATGAAAGCAAAAGACAAAACCAAAACTATTTCACACAAATCCCGGCGGACTTAGCGCGATTGCGCATCGCATCCAATTCGTATTCGTTCGGAATACGAGACTATAGAAATCTAGAAAACTCGGACCCACTTGGGACGTCGCTTGTGAACTAAGTCCGGTTCGAACACGAAAACATACGAATATCACTTGTACACTTAAGACATAAAATGATCCCTGTGGCATTTCGGATCGTCGTTCTCGGATTCGGGCATCGAGTATATAACCAGAGATAGAGGCGAAATGTCATTCAATTTGTATGAAAACTATTCTGCCATATCATTACTGTGACAACTGCGCTCCGATTGGCCAGCTCGAATTCGAAACAATTGACGAGTGTCGTCAACTGTTTCGCTTCAAATCGACCAGTTAACTTGAGCTTTGCTATAATGGACGAAAATTGCAAAATTACATATTCAATATTTAATTACCGATGAAATGTGATTCCGTTTGTTTTGTAATTAAGTGTTTTGCTGTTTTTCCCACACCACCGAATACAACAGCACGGCATTGTTAGAGATATTATCTTTATTACAATAAATACAGAATATTTTTTGGAATATACGGAGACGTACACACAGGTCAGTGGTTGGCCTGTCTATATTTCAGTGCAAACGAGAGTTGATATTTAAAAGAGCTGTATCGCTAATGTGTTACCAGGAATATATGGCCCTTATTTCATCTCTGTTTCTAGTTATATACTCAATGTTTCTAATATATAGTTCATATTTGTGCATTAGCAAATTAAGAAAGAACATTCTTTTAATTAACATTATTTTTTTTTATAATATCAAGTGACGATGACGGGACGAACAAGTCGCGCGCCTGATGTCAAAGTCAAAGTCAAAGATTATTTATTCCATAGGTAAAATAATTTACACTTGAAATCGTCACATTTAAGCTACTGCTCGTTCACTACGCTGACCTCCCTGAGAAGAACGAGCAAGAAACTCTAGGGATTGCTCTTTTCAAATAAACTTAAATGCTATGGAATACACTGAATCAAATTTGTGTGGATTCTGGAGCCATGTCGTCTTTCCATACATCTTTATCTAACACGTAGTCTTCAATTTTGTAATATGATTTTTCAATCAAAATATTTTTAATGTAGTTTTTAAACTTAGGAAATGATAAACTTAATATATGCTCCGGAACCTTATTGTAAAAACGTATAAATTTCCCCATAAAAGAGTTGTTTACCTTGGTTAAACGAAATCGTGGTACCATGACTTTGGACTTAGCTCTAAGGTTAATATTATGGACATCTTCTTTCTTATTGAAATTATGTATATAATGGTAAGTTACACGCCTGTCTACAACAGTTGCAGTGCCACTCAGAGCTTCAAATCACAAAGATTCGAGGGACCCTGCCACTGCACCCGTCTGAGACATAAGTTGGCAAGTCCCATGTCCCTGTAATTTCACCAGCGCCCTTACCCTTAAAAACAGAAACACAGTAATGCTGACTTTAGTGCTTGGCGGCAGAAATAGGTAAGGCAGTACTTCCCTGGATGAACTCTTTATATAAGTACGAAATAAGATACTGGTGACTACAAAAGGAAATCTATTTAACTGATAAATGCTACTTTAACCTATAGTTTAACTTATCCGTTTACCTGAACGCCATCCACTAATTTTAGATTGCTAGTGTCGTCATCTTCCGGTACGTTTTCATCCACTAAGCTGATACCTGAAAAATAAGTTTCGATTGTGAAATATCTTCTTACTTACATAATAATAGCAAACGGCACGTATTGATCACTGGTTCTTGAACCTGAGTCCTTGACCCCGGCCGACATCTTTTTGTGAAATTTGCGTACGTTAAGGAAACACAAAAAGGGTACATTGTATCATAAATCAATAGTATATTTCAGCCAAAATTCTACATATTGATGACAAAGAACCTAAAAACGTAGATTTGCGAGATTATGTAAATATGGAGCAATGTATATACCACTGTGACAACCAGAAAAAGGATGTTTCAAAGGTATAACTACTCTTTTTTACACACTTGCTGCCTAATTAAACAAAAACCAATAGTGTCAAACCAGAAACAGAACATTTTTTTGGAAACAACATGGAACATTACAATAATATAATTTGTAAAACAATGTAGCGTAAATTGGAATGCTTCTTTATAAAATTAAAAATAAAATATTTAATTAATAACTTTTGTAACTATAGTGAAAAAATAGGGTGGTTTGCATTAATATTTTAGACATAACTGGTTGATGACTGTTCCACCTCAGTTAACCGTGACCATGGGACCTGTAAAGGGCCCGAAACGTCGGTTTGTATGATAAAACAAATATACGCGATTTAAATCCGGAAAAATAGTTTCATTTCCTATGTGTAATAATCGCGAAAACCTAAGAACTCGATATTTTTTTGGAAATTTGTTACAAAGTGTAATTAGTAGTATGAAAATAAACTTACCCCATTCATTATCAGTGTGTATGGGGCCTGAGTCCTCCTTGACTTCGGTGGCGATCTCGACCGGCGCAGGCCGGGCGTTGACCTCGGCCTGTCGCGCGAGGCAGTGGCTGTCGTCGCATTGCGGGTTCGGCTTTACAACAACCAAATTTACATATCATACGATCGACAGAACAATGACTACAGCAGTGCTTTGCGAGCATAGCACGTGAGCCAACAGTACGTGGAGTTCCGCACACTTGAGCTGAGATTTCCCTTGATTAAGTTTAGTGAACGGAATTCATAGATTTCTCACAGATGGCGCAAGGCAAAAAAGTCCGTCGGTTCGAATCCAGCCAGAACAAAGTAAATTTTGTCTTACTATCTTTGTTTAATAATTATAACAAATGATGTATTTCTTTCCATCTTAACAATACATTGCACAAGGTAATTAAACTAAGGAACCTCGTAGAGTTAAATTGTGTGGCGGAAGACTGGTGCCTAAACTAGGTTGGACCTGTACCACCACCACCAGGTATCCACCACTGGATCCCAATGATACAATATTATGATGTTGTTGATAATACTAAGACGTTAAGGGAAAATTGGCACAACGTAATACAAAATACGACATAGAAAATACGCGAATTATTTATTGTTTTGATATTGGACGACATGGTGCTGCTCAGCCCTTCGATTAGAGGACTTATGTCTACGTTGCAAATTTGTGAGTCATACGCCGTGACCCACGGACTCGAGTACAATGTTACGAAGAGCCAGCTGATGATTTTCAACGCAAATACTAAATGTTACTCTATTGTACCTAATGTAACACTTAATGGCGCTCGTTTAAATATGGTTACGAGGTGTAAGTACTTGGGTCACTGGGTCACGGATGACCTTTCTGACAACGTCGACATCGAGAGGGAGCGCAGGTCGTTGGTTTTTCGAGCCAATATGTTGGCCCGCAGATTTGCACGATGTACAAAACAAGTAAAGATAACGTTTTTTAAAGCCTACTGCCAATCTTTTTACACGAGTCTGTAGGTCGACTATACGCGGAGGACACAACGGCCTGCGCGTGCAATACAACAACGCGTTCCGGGTTGGGGCTGTCGCGCTTCTGTAGCGCACACGCACGGGTTTGCAGCCATCATTGGCGCCTGCGCGACAGCCCCGACCGCATCCTGAGCGCGTTGTCCGCACGCTGGGACTAGCCGATACTCGCTCATTGGATGCGACTACATGCGGTCGCATAGAAAATTAATGTTGTTTTGTGTTTCTATTGCTGTCCTTATGTATTGTACAAATAACTAACCCTTAGACCTAAGCATTTTGTAATTTACTAACAATTTATGGACCAGTTTCGACATAAATAATTATTATTATATTATATTATAAACGGTAGTATGACAATTTAGTTTCTATAGAAAGTAAGTAAGATGGCGTAGTTGTTTGGGATTGTTTATCTTTCAAATTGTTAATATATTGTAAGCTGTTGGATGCCCGAAATAAAATTAAAAAAAAATAAAAAATTCAGAGAGAGAGTGGAAGTGTTAATGTGTGAATGTTATGATGAGTGTAAAATATGTATATTTGGTTGTGAGGTGTGAGTGCGTCCGTGCACTACAATTTGGTATTAAAATCTTAATTTTCGTGTTTTTATTGGTTAATACGTTATTGCTTATTGGCATCCAACATCGAGTACATAACCAGAAATAGAGACGGAATAAGGGCCATCCATCCCTGGCAACTCATCAGGTAAATGGGTCTTACACCACTTTTAAATATCAATTTTCGTTTGCGCTGAAATCACAAATTGGAAAACTGAAAATGTACAGCGCCAACAACTGACCTGTGTGTACGTCTCTGTATATTCCAAAAATATTCTGTATTTATTGTAATAAATAATAATATCTCTAACAATAGAAGGCTGTTCCATTCGGTGGTCTGTGGAAAATAGGAAAACATCTGATTGCAAAACAAACGGAATCACATTTCATCGTAATTAAACATTAAATATGTAATTTTTCAATTAATGTCCATTATAGCAAAGCTAAAAACACCCGTCAATTGTTGCGAATTTGGGCTGGCCAATCGGAGCGCAGTTGTCATCGTAATGATTTGGCAGAATAGTTTTCAAACAAATTAAATGACATTTCGTCTCTATTTCTGGTTATATACTCGATGGCATCCAATTATGAGATAGAACTTTTACAATAGAACGGCGTGCACACATATAAGCCAGTCACGCTGCTACGTTTGAATGCAGCACCGCTTTATTATACCGCGCTTTTATTATTACTATACAACCGTTCTCCAACTAGACTACTAGTGTAGTCCTATATTACAGGCCTACCGCTTACAGGACACGGGACTTGTCAACTTATGTCTCAGGGTGACGGGCGCAGTGGTAGTGCCGCCTCAGATCTTTGTGGTTTAAAGCTCTGAATGGCGTGTAGCTTACCATCCGGCGCACGGCTTGTTCATCCCGTCACTTGATGTCAAAAAAATCGACTAACTTGGTCGGCACTTCTGTCAATCAACTTATTATTGAATATCGTCAGAAGATTCTTGTTGAAATTATCCCGTGTGCAGCGCGACATAACTGTTACGTAAACTGTCACCCCCCGCACCGCGCAGCTACCTCAGGAACCGACTCAGTTAAGCGGTAGGCTTGTAAAAGTATTAATTTTAAATTACATGTGACTCACCTTCAAACACATGGTAGGAAAGTAATCCGTTAGGGCACTGTAGCCCAAGTAATAGCTCACGTTGCCAAAATCTAGTAGATATTTCAATGTGTTTTGTACTGAAAGAGACAATATTTATCATTTTCAAAATTAAAATCACTTTAAATAACAAAGAATACAACAAAACCTAAAGACAATTACTAATTTATAACAAGACAAACATATCTGATAGGTCTATGAAAACTATAGCGTACATGATTAAATAATACAAATCGACTCCTCCTACGTAAAGTATCGTATGTCGAAATTGCCAAGTTCACAGGGAAGTGTTACAAAGTTTTCCGTTTCATTCGGCAAAGCTCGTTGCTCACATAGAGTGATCATCTAATAGATCATCTTACCGATATCTAGAATTTTATAATACTCTATGTGAGTAACGAACGACCTTTGCCGAATAGAACTGAGAAACGTTTCGAGTCACGTATTACGCTTATTTCAGTGAATTCAGACCTTTAAAAGGCTCCACTGTAAACTTGGCAATTTCGACATACGATACTTTACGTGGGAGGGGTCGAAATGCTTGTGATATTTTAGTTACAATTTATTACTATTGTATTTTTGGATATTATATTTCCATTTTTTATAACGACGTCAATATAATTTGTTACTCTTTGCCATGTTATGTAATTTATACTGTCTTTGGGGAATATACATATTATAAACAAGGAATTACGAAGGAGACTATTAGAAGCCCTAAGTCGAAGGCTGAGGGCTTCGGAGTCCTCAACTCCGTAATCATAATTCCCGTACCGCCCGTGACACATACAATGTTTTTCATCAAACTTGCACGTAAATAGTATGTTTGCATGCAGGCTAACTTGACTATATTGCCCCAAATAAAATCCTCAGGCTTTTTTCTTCTCATTACAGCCATGGTCGGAAATGACCCGAGTGTTTTATTTGGGGCATTACAGTCCAGTTAGCCTGCATGCAATCATACTATTTACGTGCTAGTGTGATGAAAATAAACTAAGCTAAACACTGAAAACTAAGCCATTGCACGTAAATTCAAGTAGCAGTAGAGCTCTCTGTGAAAGAATTTGTCCGGGAAAGTACTGCCACACTGTCGGTGTTGACAAAACTACAGGCATATGGGAATTGTCATAAGTTGACATAAGTTGCCCCTCAGAACTTTGGGATTTAAAGCTCTGAGTGGCAATGCCACTGTTATGTGTAAGTTACCACAAGTCGCACTTGATATGTGTTTGTGTTGTCACGCATGAGCAAAATCGCCAAAGCAAGGTTGTTAAAGTAAAACTATACAATAGACTTTGTTCTCACCTAAGAATCCAGCTACTATGCCCATTGTCGTGGGCAGACTCGCTGCGCACACGCCTTCTCTTTTAAGCGTTTTCTCGTCAATCTTCGATGCTACCACTAACGGAGGTGCACACTAAAACCATAGGCAATAAAAATTAGAAGAACAAAAAGTAATCCACTGTGGTCATCTAATATGATAGAAAAGTTAATTTCCCAAATTGGTCCTGCCAGGAATCGAACCCGGGATCTTGTCATCCAGAGCGCAGAGTGTAAACATTGGGCCACCAAGAGGTTATCAAATTTTAATTATTGCTACTAAATGTACTATATCACTATTTTAATAGAAATCGAAATGGCTACACCAACTATATTACGTTTGTATTTGATAGAGAACAAATGATTTGACGTAACCCACCTTACGTAGCACATTAATTTTCAAAAATATGATGCTATGATTTAGAAGATAATATCTTCACAAGGTACCGCCAGAAAATTCAAACAAAATGATTCTTTTTTCCTTAGTTGTCTTGTCATTTACATTGAATAGGCAATTGCAAAAGTTTGAAGTTAAATGTGGATTAATGTCAATATTTCGCAGGCAGTGGAGATTTTTAAAATATCCGGTTAGTTATAAATGTTAAGAATCATTGTGCGAGTGTGGTTTAGATGAAGGAAACATAGACCATATATTCTTTGACTAAATTTCAATAAACCCTGTATGACATTCTTCCTCCTATTCCTCATACTACTTCCATTAAATGCCTTTTGTCTCTGTCCTCTCACCCAAAAATGTATCAATTATTATCTGTAAATTTATACATACGAATCATATTAAATTGTAAATATTGTTTGTATATTAACACTGTATTGGTACTTAAATTGTTACTAACAATTTGTGTTAATTTGTGCTGTCTGTTTCGTTCTAGGGATCAACTTGTGCAAAAATCTCTTAAATACTCCCTCTGAGTCACCGAACATACTTTCTATATACACTCCCTCCATTATGTTTATGATAGTAGCACATAATGGACGCTGGCAGAATTTAGACAATAAATTAGTCTAACAAGCCATTTGTTAAAAAAAATGTTAATAAAACTCACAGCAAAACAAGCCGTCTCCCCGGGAACAATGAACTGTATGTGCCCGGAAACAGCATTCTCACTAACACCTGACTCAAACCACTTCTGCCCAAGCTCGTTGCAAGCTGTATTAATGGCCATACGCGCCTCAAAGTTGTCCACGCAGCTTAGAACTAGGTCTACTGGCCCACCGGTCAAACTACCCGTGCTGTAATAATAAGACACATTTTACAAATATTTGGTCTTCAAAAGCAATACTAATAGTTGTGACTGGAAATTTTACTTCAAGCATAGTTATTAAGGTTACATTTCTTCTTACAAGTAAATTCTGTTCCATTATATAAATTAAGGTCTGTTCTATTCATTTGTAAACATTTGTTGTCAAAAAAATAAAAAGATAAAAGACAAATTTTGGATTTTTAAATGGTAGAGGTGGTATTCCCCGTCAATAGCACAGTTGGCCGGATTCAGAGTCTCAGACAACACATCGACCCCTCCTACGTATAATATCGTATGTCGAAATCGCCAACTTTACAGGGGAGCGTTTTATAGTTTTGAATTCACTGAAATGGGCATAACACGTGGCTTTAGCATTTCTCAGTTTTATTCGGCAAACCTCGTTACTTTAAAACTCGTTCTCGAATAAAACTGAGAAATGCTAAATTCACGTGTTATGCTTATTTCAGTGAATCCAGAACTTTAAAACGCTCTCCTGTAAACTTGGCAATTTCGACATACGATACTTTACGTAGGAGGGGTCGACATGACACATCAAGCAATACAGCTTTTGTGCTATTATTATTGTTAACATTTAGTTACATGTATTGCAAACATGATCTTTAAATTAATAACAATATTTATATCATTACCTAATTGTGTCACAGAACTTCTGAAAGTTTTCCACTGTGGTTATATTAAAATTGTATGCATCAATGACAACATCAGGGTTGATATTCTGCAATGTTGACGCAGCCGCATCTACTTTGCTCAAGCCTGCTTGGTGTGGTTGGAAGAATAGACGGTTCATATTTGCAAGTTCCACTTTGTCGTAATCAAATAAGATTAGCTGAAAAAAAGCAGAACATTTTCAACCTTCACTTGTAATTTCACTTAACTGCCTCCGTGGCCGAACGGTTAGCATCCCGGACTGCCACGCAGAGGTCCCAGGTTCGATTCCCGGGCCGGGAGAAATATTTGTATGGCCTACAATTATTTCTCTCGTAAGTTAGGGTGTAATTTGTGGTTGTCTATATGTGTGTCCATGGCACCCGCGACACAGGGTTTCCCTAGTGCGGGGCTATGTTGAGTGTGTGCGTTATTATTATTATTATTATTATTAAAAATTATTAAATATCTTTCGTTTCAAAAATTACTTTAGCTCTATAAGCATCACATAACCACTGGAGGCACTCTAACAATGAATATGTGTGAAAACTTTCAGACAAACAGCTTAACAAATTATTTCAACATCATCATTGTCCACCCGTTATAATATGTATATCCCATTGCTGGACATGAGTCTACTCTAAGGTTTGATGTTGTTAGACATTACACTGACCCAAACCTGGTTGGAGACTTCATACGTTTTCAAGAGTCGTATACTTTCTTGAGCATGCAGATTTAAATTCAAATTAAAATTCAAAATAACTCAACCAACTATTTTCACACATGTGAGCTATTGGTGTAATCTTCTATTAGGGAGGTATGTCTTTAATTTATTTAAGGTACTTGGGCCGTTAGCATTTGGTGCTAAAATTTTACATTATTATTTCCAAATCGTACCTTCCCAATGCCACACCTAGTGAGCATCTCAGCAGTGACACTGCCAACTCCACCAACCCCTACAATGGCCACCGACAGGTCCCGGATCTTCTCATAGTTATCCACTATGCCCATTCGCTTCAGCGCCATCAAACGACTGTACAAACAATATTGAATTACATATGACACAGTATGTAATATTGTGGCAGCACTTCACTTGGCTATTTGTATTTGCTATTGGGTTTTTGATGTACTTAGAAAAATATTTGACATACTGACAAACATGCAGACACTTACGAATATGACCATCTACACATGGAGTTGAATATAACCATAGTGTGGACGGTTTACTAACATATTTGTCTATTTGGCTCCTTTGATGTGCATAGAGAAACCGACAGACGGATATATTTGTGGAATAGGCAAAGAAGACAAATACTTTATCACATATACTATCTACTCATGGTGATTGTTTGCCAAATATATCAAAAACGCAAGTACAAATAGCCTTGAACCAACATTAGAGAACTTAAAAATACTAAATACGAATGTTTTAAATATTTTGAAACATGATTCATAGCAGTTTTAAGCAATTATTATGGTAACATATTGCGAGAACGTTTTATAGTTTTAAACTGTTTTGTAAAGCATTATACCAGCAAATAAAGTAAAAAAGTTGCTAAGAAGTTTATATATAAATGTTTCTACTACTTTTCGTTACTCTTTTCAAGGTTTAGTAAAGGAAATTGTTGAAATACCTGTACGGATTGGAATCTACAACTTCGGACGACATGACTTCGATTTTCTGCCGCGCTGGGCGAGTGTCGCCTTGTGCGGCAGCCAGTCTGGCTTTCAGCTCCTTCACCAACTTCTGTAACTCTTCGACATTGGCCATTTTCAGTGATTTTTTAACTATAAAAATCTCACTTTTACCGAAACGGAGCGACCAAAAAACCCAACCAGCTGTCACGTTGACGTTTTCTCTGACACGGCCACGGTTTTACGACGCGTTCATTATTGCACAAGAAACTTTTGGACAATGCCTTGACAATGGTATTTAAGAACTAATTCAAAACCAAAAAATATATAGAATTCTAATATGTTACTTTATTACTACTATAACATAATGGTTAAGATAAACACTATGACGAAATCTGTGAACATTTGCAGCAACCCGTATTTATCCAGAAGATG